TAAGGAAAACTTAGATTTTTGCTAAAAAACAAGATTTTTAGTAAAAAAAATCATAGATTTGGTACCAATAATAGAGTTCTAATAAAAATCAAATTTCTTTCGTAAACAATTAGGTTATAAAAAAAATATATTTTCATTAAAAAACAAAATGTTTATTAAAAAATCATAGATTTTGCTAAAAATAATAAGAGTTTTAGTAAAATTATAGGTTTGTAGTAAAAATCATAGATTTGTAGTAAAAATCATAGATTTGTAGTAAAACTCTTAGATTTGTAGTAAAAATCTTAAATTTAGTAGTAAAAAACAAAGATTTGTAGTAAAAATCATAGAGTTGTAATCAAAATCATAGATTTGTAGTAAAAATCATAGGTTCGTAGTAAAATTCATAGATTCGTAGTAAAAATTATAGATTTGTAGTAAAAATCATATTTTCTAGTAAAAATCATAGTTATTTCGTAAACAATTAAGTTTTATATAGAAAAATATATTTTCATAAGGAAATCTTAGATTTTCCTCTATAAACCCAGATTTGGTAACAATAGGTGATAGAGATCTAGTGAAAAATCATAGATTTTCGTATAAAAGTATATTTATTTCGTAAAAAATTAAGTTCATCATAAAAAAATATATTTTTATTGAGAAATAATAAATTTCTGCTAAAAAACAAAATGTTTATTAAAAATAATAGAGTGCTATTGAAAATCAGAGGTTTCTAGTAAAAATCATAGACTTCTAGTAAAAATCATAAACTTGTAAAAATCATAAATTTTTTGTAGAAAAAACATATTTCTTTCGAATAAAATTACATAAATTTTCCTAAGAAACAAGATTTTAACGAAAAAAATCCTAGATTTAGGTAAAAATAGTTCTAGTAAACATCATAGATTTTTCGTATAAAAACATTTCTTTCGTAAAAAATTCAATTTTATATAAAAAATACATGTTCAATAGGAGATATTAGATTTTCGCATAAAAACAAGTTTTTAGTAAAAATATCGAAAATAATAGAGTTCTAGTAAAAATAATAAATTTTTCGTATAAAATTATTTCTTTCGTAAAAAAATAAATTAAAAAAAAAATAGATAAAAATATCTTTAGTAAAAACTCAACCGATTTAAAAAAATTGATTTGTTTCAAATCGAATATTTTCCGCAAAAAAATAGGATTTTCCGTAAAAAAATACAATCTTTCAGTAAAAATAACCTATTTTCAGTAAAAATCATACATTCTTCATACAAAAAACTTTTCAATAAAAAATCATAGATTTTCAGTAAAAAAAAAAACAGTATTTGAATAAAAACCAACCATTTTCAGTAAAAAATACATTTTTTTAAAAATCGTAGTCTCATTGTATACGTTTGAAGTTGAAGAAGAAGAAGAAGAAGAGGAGTAAGCAACAAACAAAGGTATTAGATCAAAAATATTTATAAATTTAAATTAAAAAAAATCTGTATTAGGTAATAAATCACTTTTGACAAATACGGATTTAAAAATAATAGGGTAGGTTAAAGGGGTAACTAGCCCTCCGCAAGTCCAAAGATATTACTTGGATTGAATTTCATAAATATATTTCCCGTTACCCTCCTTAAACACCGAACATGTTCCTTAAATACGTACCTGTAAATTATTTTAAACAGATAAGCTCAAGCCACTAGACACATACGCAGTAGCGAATGTTTTTTTATTAGCATCGGGATATTGTCAACTGGTCTGGGGTCCGCTAAAGTTTATATATCTAGTTCAAGGCTCATTTGTATTAACAAATAGTTCGAATTATTGATATTGGGACACTTTCATCATCAAATTTTCAAAATCTGATTTCATTAGGCCTCGGTGAGAATTTTACAAATTCAAAAATAAATATTTCGAAAACCACGTTTGTTTATTTGAGATTTTTGATAAATTTTTGAGTCGACCTGTCTTTTTAAGCAATTTTTAACTATTTACATAAATAAAAAAGCGCCAGTTTTTTAAACATTTTAGATTGCTTTTCTAAAACCATCTTTCCTTGGCTAAATTAAATACACATTTTGAAAACTGCAATGAAAATAAAAATATTTAAAAATTGACGTTCCAAGCTGAGTTTCAAATATTGTGGATCGTTTTTACTGAACATCTATCACTTTTACTGAATAACTTTCATTTATATATTTTACTGAAAATCCAATTTTTAAAGAATAGCAAACTTTTTACGGAAGATCCATATTTTTACAGAGTTTCCCTTATTTTTAAATAACTTCTTTATTTTTACATAACACCCATATTTTTAGCAACCTTCATATTTTTAATTTTTAACTTCATATCGTGGTAGACCCATAGTTTTACCGAATACCCATATTTTTTTACATAAAACCTTTATTTTTACATAACACCTTTATTTTTAAATAACACCGTATTTTTACATAGCAAAACATTTTTATCGAATCTTTATTTCTACGGTAGACCCATATTTTTACCGAATACCCATATTTTATATATAAAACCCTATATTTTAATATAACACCCATATTTTTACCAAACTCTCACTCTCACATATCCATAGTTTTTACATAAAACCTATATTTTTATATAACACCCTTATTTTCAAATAACACGAATATTTTTATATAACTTCTTATTTTTATATAGCAAACATTTTTACCGAATCCTTATATTTATACCTGACTCTGCATTTCTACGGTAGAACCATATTTTTACGGAATACCCATATATTTTTATATAACACCCATATTTTTACCAAACTCCCACATTTTTACGCAACTCCATATTTCTACAAAAAATCAATATTTATACCGATTATTATCCATGTTTTTTACATAAAACCTATATTTTTACAAAAAATCATACGATTTGTAGTAAAAATCATAGATTTGTAGTAAAACTCATAGATTTGTAGTAAAAATCTTAGATATCTAGTAAATATCATAGATTTGTAGTAAAAAACATAAATTTGTAGTAAAAATCATAGATATCTAGTAAATATCATAGATTTTTAATAAAAATCATAGATTTGTAGTAAAAATCATCTATGTGTAGTAAAAATCATAGTTTAGAGTAAAAAACACAGATTTGCAGTAAAAATCATAGATTTGTAGTAAAAATCATAGATTTGTAGTAAAAATCATAGATTTGTAGTAAAAATCTTAGATTTTCAGTAAAAATCATAGATTTGTAGTAAAAAACATAGATTTGTAGTAAAAATCATAGATTTGTAGTAAAAAACATAGATTTGTAGTAAAAATCATATATTTGTAGTAAAAATCATAGATATCTAGTAAATATCATAGATATTTAGTAAAAATCATAGATTTGTAGTAAAAATCATGTATTTGTAGTAAAAATCATGTATTTGTAGCAAAAATCATAGATTTGGAGTAAAAACAGATTTGTAGTAAAAATCATAGATTTGTAGTAAAAATCATAGATTTGTAGTAAAAATCATGTATTTGTAGTAAAAATCATGTATTTGTAGCAAAAATCATAGATTTGGAGTAAAAACAGATTTGTAGTAAAAATCATAGATTTGTAGTAACAATCAAGGATTTGTAGTAAAAATCATATATTTGTAGTAAAAATCATAGATTTTTAGTAAAAATCATAGATTTGTAGTAAAAATCATAGATTTGTAGTAAAAACAAATTTGTAGTAAAAATCATAGAGTTGCAATGAAAATCATAGATTTGTAGTAAAAACAAATTTGTAGTAAAAATCATAGAGTTGCAATGAAAATCATAGATTTGTAGTAAAAATAATAAATTCGTAGTAAAAATCATAGATTTATAGTAAAAATCATAAATTCGTAGTAAAAATCATAGATTTGTAATAAAAATAGATTTGTAGTAAAAATCATAGATTTGTAGTAAAAATCATATTTTCTAGTAAAAATCATAAATATTTCGTATAAAATCATATTCTTTTGTAAACAATTAAGTTTTATATCAAAAAAATATATTTTCATAAGGAAATCTTAGATTTTTGCTAAAAAACAAGATTTTTAGTAAAATATATTTATGGATCTAATAAAAATCATAATTTATAGTAAAAATTAAGAGATTTTTTGTATATATTTTTACATAACACTCTTATTTTTAAATAACATCAATATTTTTATATAACTCCGTATTTTTATATAGCAAACATTTTTATCGAATCCTTATATTTATAGCCGACTCTATATTTCTATGGTAAAACCATATTTTTACGGAATACCCATATTTTTTATATTTGAAACCCTATATTTTTATATAACACCCATATTTTTACTAAACTCCCGCATTTTTACGCAACTTCCTATTTTTGCAACTCAATATTTATACCGATTGTCCACGTTTTTTACATAAAACCTATATTTTTACGTAACACCCTTATTTTTAAATAACACCAATATTTTTATATAACACCATATTTTTACATAGCAAACATGTTTATACTGAATCCTTATATTTATACCCGACTCTATATTTTTACGGCAAAACCATATTTATACCGAATACCCATATTTTATATATAAAACCCTATATTTTTATAAAACACCCATATTTTTACCAAACTCACACATTTTTACGCAACTCCATATTTCTACAAAAGATCAATATTTATCCCGAGTATCCATGTTTTTTACCTAAAACCTACATTTTTACACAACACCCTTATTTTTAAATACAACACTAATACTTTTATATAACACCGCATTTTTAAAAAGCAAACATTTTTACCATATCCTTATTTTTATACCCGACTCTGTATTTCTACGGTAGACCCATATTTTTTATTAATACCCATATTTTTTACACAAAACCCTATATTTTTATATAACACCCATATTTTTACCAAACTCCCATATTTTTACCAAACTACCACATTTTAACTTAACTCCATATTTTTAAAAAACACCGTATTATTACATAGCAAACATGTTTTTACCGAATCCTTATATTTATATCCGAATCTATATTTGTACAGTAGACCCATATTTTATATACATAAAATCATATATTTTTATATAACACCCATATTTTTACCAAATTTCCACATTTTACGCCTCCATATTTTTACCGAGTATCCATGTTTTTTAGATAAAACCTAAATATTTACTTTATTTGTTTATTATATTTTTTGTATTAATTCTATTTTTTGTATTAATTATATTTTTTGTATTGTTTTATTTTAGTATGGATTTTATATTTTTTGTACTAATTTTGTATTGCATCAATTTTAATTATAAGTAATTTGATACTCGGTTGAGCTATAAGCTATAAGCTATAAGCTGTATTTCGCCGAGGATTTATAGATAAAGACCATTTATTATTATTTTTGTTACATTTTTACGGATTCCCCTTATTTTTAGCCTACTCCATATTTTTACAGAAGGCCCATATTTTACCCTACTCCATATTTTTACAGAAGACCCATATTTTTACCAAATTTCTATATATTTTTTTACACAAAACATATTTTTACATATCATCCATATTTTTTACGTAAAACCTATATTGTATACCATCTATATTTTTACATAACACCCTTATTCTACATAATACCCATATTATTATAACAATTTTTTTTTACGTAACACCCACATATTTACCGAATACCCACTTTTTACTGAACACCCACATTTTTACGGGACACAAACATTCTTATTCATCATTCAATTTTCTAAGAATCACATTTACTAAAACATGCATTTATTCCACATGTTATACATTTGAAAAGTTACCGAATATTTTTATTTAAAGTATATTATAAAAACGAAGAATCTACACCTTATTAAGTGTAAACAAATATTTTATTCAATTTTGAAAGTCTTACGGGATTTTTAGTCGTTCCAAATCATTTTGTTCTTCAGGATTCTTCAGCTGAAATAAAGTAAAAAAATAAATATGCACTTTATATTAACCCACAAAAAAGTCTAATAGGTTTAAGTTTGGTGATCTGGCTGGCTACTGTTTTGATTTTGGAAAATGTTTGGTACATGTTTTATAACAAAATAGTGAAAGTTTAAAAGGTAAGATGGGTTAGGAATGGACGTGGGTATAATATATTGGGACATCTAAGGTGCCATATTTCTTTTAATAGTATTTAGTGAATTCTATGTCTAGATTATCTACATGTTCGTGCGGCTTATTAAATTTAAATCCACATCATAGAAGAATCTATAGAAGGTGGAAAAATCTAACAAAATGAAGATCGAAAAATTTGGAAACACTTTGTATACTTGCTTACTAGGTTCAAATACAGGCATATAAAGACACTTAGGGTAATACGCATTCTGTATCGTTGCACTCCTCTTTTTCTTCCGCGAATATACCACTATCTCTTTTGGAGTGGTACCGAACTCTCCAGGAACTTTGATCAAAGCAGACTTGTAACCAGGAGGAGCATGAATGTTAAAGTTTTCGTTATTGCATACACTCCAGTGATACTGCAAGTCAATGTTTCTAAATTGCGGACTAGTTCCATCTAAAGTGGTGCCAAAATACCTGAGGAAATCAAATAGAGATGATTGAATAAATTAAACACTTTAAAGTACCCAAAATATTACCTTGAGGGAGTCCTACAAGTGTCTGTAGTTAAATTAGTATTCCCCAGTCTAATAGCATCTCTTCTTCGTCTCACAGCCATTTCATCAATGTTGTAGTTGTTGTAGAAGTTGGAGTATCGCATACGGATATGTGTTGCTTCTACAGGGGAAATTTCCTGTAAGAAACAACAATTTTCAAACGTCTACTGATGAAATCATTGCTGCTGATAATAATAATAATACTAGATAATTTTTACAACTTCTTGTTAAAGTCTTACAGCAACCTCTTAAGAAGTAATGGTACCCTTAGCCTCAAACTTGGTTCATGCCACCACTTACTGCTGTTGATTAAGATTTGTTAGCCTTGTTGAATTAGTTTTTTTATTAAAAGCAAGATAAATTACTAAAAATTACCAACACAAAATTTTAAAAAACTATTATCATACACTGATTGGTTGTGTTTATAGATTAGCATAGTTTTTTTTTTGCATTTTTAGCCTCTCTGCAATACTATGCACTTTTCGTTTACATTTAATTTGATTTAAATATCATACAAGTCAAAAAATGTGAAATACCAAAATACCTAAACTGGAATTCAAGCTCTTATCTTCATAAATATTCAATTTCTTCTTAGGCGCTACAGTGTCAATTCATCTTTCATCAACGTGGTCTGATTTGGATCTCGGCTAGAATAAAGAAACAAAATCTAAAATAACATAATTAAAGCAAGTATAGAAGACTTCAAATAATACAGGCACAAACAAAAAAGAAGACTAAGGACGATTGAAGAAAGGCGACCAAAGATACTGTTGAACATGGAAGGGGTGGTAGAAAATCCAGAAGATAACTGCGTACGAAAGAGTAATAATAAGGAAGAAGAAGGGGGAAAGGAAAGAAGAATGAGGAGAAAACAGAGAAGTAGAAGATCTAGAAGGATAATACTGTAAACTTACGAATCGGAATATCAACTGGTAAACTGGAAATGTACGGTCTCCTTGACTTCATTCCTGGTGGATGATTGAAACAATTGGCTTTACACGGTCCATCATAGCAACATGGCGCTTCTTTCGGCAGCCAATGTTTGCAAAAAGGTCGACAGCACAATCCTTCGGCAAATTAATATTCTCTTTTAAGAAAACTAACAAAACAAGTCTCCCCTTCTAAATGAGATCTAACCTCACCTGGATCTTTATTTTCCCCTTCCATTGGAATCATGGAGCACGTTAGCGAACATGATTGAACTTCATCGACCTCGTTCAAATCCTGGATGCACAAGTCCGACGTGGAATCGCTAAACGGTATGCAGTTACTTTCAAACAAAGACAGAGCATGAATGGGTTCGATTCTCATGTGCGGTAGTCGCCAGATCTTCATCATTTGTTCTAATTGTTCGTCCCGAGAAACTGCACCTGAACCTTTGTCGCATTTACACGACATTCCTCGACGCGCATATCTGCGACAAGATCTCACTTCCTGGCCATCTAAGGTTACGCCTCTACATCTCGCTTGTCTAGGACATCTGCATTCCTTCGATTGTAGCTGAAAAGACGATAAAAACAAGGCTGCAAATATTATGTTACAACCAACTCTTCGCGATTTTGTTAAAACTATTAAAACAAGGCTAACAAGTCTTATTCTATAGCATATGTAGCGTATATAGTCCCTTAAAAAACTTACTTCGCGATCAGCAGGATCCCATACCATGATAAACTTGACCGGCTCCTTGGGAAAGGCACATTCCTGATGAAAAATGTCGTAAGTAGGATGGCAAGGATCCTTAAGAGGTGAACAAGGACAACCGGGACCGCATGCCTCGTCCTTAGATTCGCTAAGAGGGCAAGGACTACACGCGCGGTCGCAAGGACAGCAAGGACTGCACGCCGCGTCGCAGCAAGCGTACGTATTACACTCGGTGTCGCAGGTTTTGCAAGGATCGCATTCGCAGGACGTGCAGTTGCAGGGAATGCAGTTGCAAAGCGTACAAGGAGCGTCTCGGCAGCAATACGGATTGCGATTCGCTATGCATGGATTCACCTATAAAAGCAGAATCGTTAAAGATAAGCTCCAAGGTCTGCTGTCTACTTACCCATGGTCTTTGGCAAAAAGGCGGCAAACAAATTCTCGGAGATTTGCAGGGTGGTGGTGGTGGTGGTGAGGGACACTGTATCGGTGTGGGGACAGACGTTTCAGGAATATTATAGCAAAGCGTTGGACCCGAAACACCGGCAGATTCCCAAAAATTGGATAGTGACGGGCATTCTTCATCGCTGGACAATGAATCACAGGGGGAGTCGTAATGCAAGCAAGGTTGAAAAAGTGGCGAACCACAAGGCGAACAAGGTGGATCACCGCATGTGCTAGAATGATGGCAAGGCGTGCAAGGTTTATATTGTGCAGAAGTATCACAAGGTCGAGGAGGACACCGCCCACAAGGAGGAGGGATACAAGGATTACAAGGAGGGGGACTGGAATCACTAGGAGATTGATTCGAGTTGCACGGTTTATTTAGTTGATCAGAAGGAGGTAGACAACAAGGGTCACAAGGCGTTGGACATGGATGACAAGGAGGCGAACAAGGACAAGGTCCACAAGGCATTGTGCATGGGCTACAAGGAAGCGAACAAGGACAGGGTCCACAAGGCATTGTACATGGGCTACAAGGAGATGGACAGACGTAGCAATTAGCGCAAGGTTTACAAGGATCACAAGGCGAAGCGCACGGTTCGCAAGGAGGTGGACAAGAATCACATGGCGCTGCACGCGGTTCACATGGCGGCGAACAATTTGGAAGGCTCTGATTGCAAGGAGTAGCAGGTGTACAAGGAGATGAACCGGGATCACCAGGAGGTAGACAACACGGACGGCTCAGATTGTAAGGAGTGCACGGTTCACAAGGGGATGGGCAAGGACAAGGTGGGCAAGATGGAATGCTTAAACTGCAAGGCCATTGTGGTTCGCACGGTGGTGGGCATGATTCGTAAGGCGGCTGACGAGGTAGAAACTTAGGTTGCATACTAATCGGCTTTAAGGGAGTTATGTGACAACCTGGAGGTACAGGCACTGTTAATGGAAAACAGCAAGCTTCATAATAAAGAGATGGGTGAAAAGTAGGCTGATGATAGCAAGTAGAAGGGCCGGGTACTGGCGGATCCGGTTCGCAAGATGGTCTACAAAATTGATTTAAGCTGCTGGTTGATAGTGATATCGTTATGGAGGTTTTCGATGGGGATTTTGAAGGTGGGGCACCATGTTGGCTGTAGCGTATAGGGCAGGCCGGTTGGCAACATCGTGCAGTGCATGTTGGCGGGCAGCAACGTTGTGTATATTGAACGGCAGAGAATGATGACGGTTGTATTGGGGTTTTTTCTGGTGGTTCAAATGTGGTATAGTCTATTCTAGAAAAAAGTACCGGATGTATTTTAAAATTGTGGATAAGAAATTATAAAACACTAAAGAAATAAATTTGAAAATATTGTTATATAAATGTTATACAAGTGTGATTTCTATTTGTGTAGAACTGACATTTAAAATTTTATTTCCTTATTTAAATTTCTGAGAAATCTTTACTTACTGTAAACTTTGCGTACAATGCGGCATGATCACTGGAATTTGGAGGGACACAAACACAAATTACTAACACATTAAATTTCGAATTTCTACATAAACATTTTTGTTGATTTCTGTCAAATCATTTGTTTTCAAAGTCGACACATTTTTATTGGGCCCGTCAAAATTTATCAGCGACTCCATGAGAGTGACTCGATCATGAACTCCATTTGAGCAGCACCAATGGGATCAAATATCTCCATGAACAGCACGGAGCAATGTTTTACCCTCCGGGCATAACTACTAGATAGAGCGTGAAACAAGTTTGTAGGCGAATGTTGTGTTCGCAACATCTGTAGAAGAAGTGAGGAAGCGGGCACAAGGGGGAAGGTAAATTCCCCTCTTGTTCAGTGGCGTACCATTTCTCTGCAAGAATACATTGTCTAAAAATTTTTAATTGTAAAAAAAACTAACAAATTCGCTAATTTTACTATTTTTAAAATGTATACCGTCTTATATGTGTATCTGATGCAGGAAATAAAACAAAATTTCTGTAAAGGTCTAATTTTTCCAATGAAATAATAAAACCACAAAACCAATATATCAGTTTTATTATGTTAATAAGTAATTAACTTTTACTATAATCATTATGAGACGGATGAAGACGAACTTAGCTGGAGTTTACTTGCTCTTAATTTTAATTTTTCGATAATAAAATAAGAAAGTTTAATTGCAAATTAATGGCGATTGCCCAATGCACCGCCTTTGATAATTAAACTGTGTTTGTACTTACCTGCCTATGATATAGTCTTGAAGAAGCATTTTCAACAGGTCTTTTACACACAAAGCATGTTTCACCATATTATTACAGATAATAAATCTTAAATATACAATTAAAACCCTTACAAGGCTATAAATAATTATATTTTTCGTAAAATACAAATCAAAAATTGACATGTGTCAGAAAGTGTCAGAACTCTCGCTGTCAAACTTGGCAACGCTGATTAAATAAGCCAATTACAGAAGAGGTATTTCCCCCCTCGGGGGGAGATGTTGCTCTAGTAGTATTTGTTCAAAGGTTTTACCATCTAGTTTTAGGTAAGATATATTCATAAATTAGGCATTCCAACGACCTGTCAAACAATATGTGCCAGTGGGAAATTCTTGTATATCTAAGGGAGTAGCGACATAGTCTTGCAACTTGGACGCTATTTTTATTCGAAGTAGTAGTCGCCAAGCCTGCCAATTTATGAAGAAATGTATAGGTAGGTTTTTTAAATATTATTTTTATTGTGTTTGACATAAAATATTTAAATGTAATCCATTATTCATGATTTTACGTAAAGTAGATAGAATACACCGTATGTCGCCACCCTTAGATATACCAAACCTTCCCACTGGCAATTCATTTGTTTGGAATGCCTAATTGTGCATAAATTGGGCAAAATTGAAAAAAAGAAGAAAAAGAAGAAGAAAGTGAAGAAAAAGGAGATTATAGATGGATGAAAGAATGTATTGTTCTATTAGGCATTCCAAACTGAATGGCTACCAGTGGGTTTTGACGGGTTATGATATAGCAAAATTTTGGCAACCCTGTAGGCCTGGTGATTTGACAAGGTCAATGAAATAGATAGTTACATAGATTGATCATCCATATTTTTCAAAATAAACATAAGCTTATGCCTTGAAGTAAAAATGTAAGCAATTATTTTTTTTTAATGTCTAAAGGCTAAAAATTAGTTTTAAAACACATTTTTTCTAAACCGATTCAAATTAATAAATATTTGCCAGGCAATATGGCCACTCGTAAACGACCAGCTTTGAGCAATCTATATAACTATATATGTATCATTGACCTTGTTAATGACAACATGACAACAGGGTTGCCATATCTAAACTGTCATTACCCACTGGTAGCCATTTGGACAGGTCGTTGGAATGCCTAATTGTTAAATTTATATTAGGTAGACCCTCCGAGCAGTAGTAATTGCTTGGTGATCAATACTTGGGAGTTATATATTTGTCTTTATTAATTTTTATACGGGGTGATAACAGAAAATGCCCAAAACTTTTTACATCTCATCACATACTTTAATTTTCTTTTACTATAAGTACGGAGAATACGGAGAATACAAATTCAGGATACGCAGAAGACTGCTGTTTTATTACAGGCGGTTGTCATATATTGTATTATCCGAGTTACGCAGTGTATAAACTGGAACATTGAGATCAAAAGTGCCGACGCAGAGTGAGCGATCTGATTCTTCAGCTAAAAACTGTGGCATAGGAATCAAAATGGCCGCGCTCTATGTTGGGCATGTCGGACCTCTTTCTTGCACCGTATAGTAATCAAAAGGTTCTTTCGTTCGTCCCACTGGTATAGTAATGAACTACACCAACCCACACCCATACCTTTCGTTTGGCCCGGTGTAAAACCCACTTTACCTTCCTGTCGGCGATGTGGTGTACACTGGTGGATATTTTCTCCACCAGCTATTTAGCAGGAGTGAATTACACTCGACGATGTGTATAAGGAATAAGGAGGAAGTAAATTAGGGTAAATAAGGTGGTGTAACTGGTGTAATTTACACTGGTGGACACTACACCAATAGCGAACGAAAGAACCTAAAGTATGTACATCTCATACATTATGTTTATATGAATTAAATATTTTTGAAATAATTCTAATCCAGAGGTACAAAATAAGTTGTTTTTAGTGTTTCACCTTCTGATATATTTAAGATAAGGTATAGCCATTTAAGTTTTTACATGATCACCGTCTTTAGAATAAAACTTTCAGGTTAACTTAAATTTCTCACAATACTTCTTCTTCCTTTATTGGGAGATATCCCACAGGATAATTTACCCAGCGAACAACTAGGAGAGAATCCTTGTCAAAGGGAGAATTTTGCCAGTTCAGAGTATAAATAAAAGTTTGCCATCATATTTATGGGATATTCAAAGATAATGTGGTTTAATGAGCCAATTTGACCACACTCACAAAATGGATCATCTTTTACTCCTATACGAAATAAGTGATATGGGGATAGGCAATGTCCTGTTCTCATCCTAATTATTGTAGTTAAATGTCTTGTCCTTGTAAGGAAAATTTATAACCAAGGGGTTTTATCAAATCGTGGAACGACTTTAGAATAAAAGGAATTCTTCTTACTCTTGAGGCTATTCCATTCTTCAAGCCATCTTGAATTCACAATGTTTCTGATGAATGGAAAGAAATTATGATAGTTTAATTTGATATTCACTGAAATATTCAGAGATCTTCCTATATTTGCCAATTGATCTGCCTTTAAGTTACCCAGAATCCCAGAGTGACCTGGAATCCATGCCAGAATTATTTTGATATGTTCATCTTTTACGAGTAAGATACCGTCCTTAGTCAAGAAGGAACAATGTTCAATTTTCCTGGAAAAGCATGATCTTGCTATTTTTTGAAGTGCAGCTTTGGAGTCTGAGAGGATAATGGATTGAACGATGTTTTTGTCTAATATTATTTGCAAGGCCTTGTTGATAGCTATAACTTCAGCTGTACAAATTTGAGTATGGAAAGGAAGCTTACTTGAGAATGCATAATCTATAACTATACACTCCAAACCCTGAGTGACCGGAAGAGTTTATTGAGCCATCGATAAAGAACCTGGTGTAAGATGCGTATTTCCTAATGATATTCTGATATTGTACAATTCCTATACTTTCAGATTTAGTGGCGTCAATGTTTACGATAGGAATGGAGGCCAATTGGGGTTGGAATTCAAATTTATAACATGGTAAAAGTAAAGTATATAAATGAGGATTCACGACATCGAATTGACTGATGAGCTGGATTAGTAGAGGATTACTTTTGTTGTTCCACGTAATCTTTCTAGTTTTCTTAAAGCAGTGATAATGGGATTGTTTACCAAAGACATATTTTTAATTAGGTACTTAATGGATAGCCATTCTCTTCTAAATCTAAGAGGGATTTCACCTGTCTCTGTCAATAAGGCTAGAATTGGGGTAGATTTCATACACCCTGTGATGATAATATGAAGGCTTTGGTTCTGAAGTGTATCTAACTTCTTTTGTAATATAATTTGACATCCATAATCAAAGTGGGACGAAATGATTGATTTATGTAAAATTCTTAATATATGTGGGTCACATCCCTACCAAGTCCCACAGAGAGCACGCATGACATTGAGGTTACGATTGATCTTAACATTTAAGATTCCTATGAATGCTTATCCCCAGATATTTAACTTTATCCTTCCATTGAATGATTTGAGATTTATAGATGATATTAGGTAAAGTAATTTTAGTTACCCCTTTGGTGAATAAAATTGTCGAAGTTTTATGCAATGAAAGATTAAGGTTAAGTTTTTCCAACTAGAACTCTAAGCAAAAAGGAGTTGATACGTGGAATCATATTGTAAACATTCGGTCCATTAACCAGTATTGCCAGATCATCAGCATATTGAATTAATTTAAAATTATTAGGCAGAATATCAATTAGAGACAAGGCATAAAGGTTAAACAAAATGCAACTGAGCGGAGAACCTTGAGAAAGGGCTTGATTAGTAGTTTGAAGACCATGGATGTGGCCCAAATTGTCTTGAGTAAATAGTTCTCTTTGGACTTAAAAGGAATGTATTAAATTGGCCAAATCCACTGAGACATTCGCATCTAGTAAAATGGAATATAACCGAGGAATATTAACTGAATCATATGCAGCAGAAATATCAATGAAGAGCCCAATAGTAAATTCATTAAGGGAGAAGCCTATTTGCACTTGTGAGGTAAGATAGACAAGACAATCCGTACAACCCCTGCCTCTTCTGAAGCCCAATTGAAGGGGATTAAGAATTTGGTTATTTTCCAAATGCCATTAAAGTCGATTTTTAATTAAGGATTCTAATACTTTGCCTACGCAAGAGGAAAGGGAAATAGGACTATACTTTGAAGCTACAATTGTATCCTTGTTTTGGCTTAATTATAAATAGAATTAAGGATTGATTCTATTATTGAGGAATTGAGCCTGTTAAAAGACACCTATTAAAGATACCCAGGAGAAACAAGGAGCCTGAACGAGGTAAATTTTTTAGCATAGAGTATGAATTAAGATCTAAGCCTGGAGAAGAGTTTCGTTTCAAATTTAACAAACTTGAGTATTCATTAAGATTACTCACAAGTCTCTTCACCAATAACCAAAACTGTGCTTTAAAAAAATAAAATACAAAATTTTGAAAAAGGAAAATATATTATCGTTACACTTTATATTTTTAATATTTCCAACTTTTACACATTTCTAATGTTTTTTTATGCATGTGTCTTGATACCATAAACTTAAAAACGTCACACCTAAAACAAAGTTATTATC